TTATTTGTGGGGTCTGACAATAGCCTGGCTTTTATAGCCCAGATAACTCAAAAATTAACCCTAAGCTTTGCTGATCAATTAAAAACTCCATTGTGCTTACCTGCCTCAAAGTTCAGGGCAAATAAAAAAGATAAGTCAGATTTTAAAGACAATAATTACTAATGGCCTTAAAAACTGGCAAGAACTGGGCGAGTCTCTTTCCTTTTGCTTTTTTGCGTGCACCATGTACCCCCTATGTTGCAGTTATTTCCCCTTTTGAGGCTTTATATGGGAGACCTTTTCCTCTTACCCTTAAGGTTTCTAAAGAAAAATTAGCTGATTTAGCTAATCAAGTTCTTAAGTCCTGCCAGACTTTTCAGCCAACATTCCTCCACCTGCTGCCCACTGAGAAGACAAACACCCTGCTGTGGAGCCTAGATACTGGTCCTTATCAAGAGGCATCACTGTAAATCTCTTGAGCCGCAATAGACTATCAAAGTAGCTGAAAAGCCTGCCTGGATTCATCATTCCCACTTCAAGCAGATCCCAGCTTCCAAAGGCTATCAGTAGACTGTTGTTCCCTCCAAGGACTCTTTAAAGTTTAAGATTGCCAAATGTAACTGATAATCTTATGTTGTCCCTTATAAAGACCAAAGGAGGCCTCTGTCTGACTTTAAAAAAAAATTGTTACTTACATGATGAAACAGAGTAAATTTAAATGCTGATTTTCTTTCTCCTTTTGGTTAACAGCTTTAATAATGACAGCTGCAAGACATTTGTTAATCCTCCTATTGGGCCTTGAATTTTAAACAAGTTGATAAATTATGTCAAAGATCTTAAAAGCTTATGATTTTAAAGAGGCACGCAAGATTATAAACAGATACCTATGAGTCAATGATTTGACTCACTAACTAAAATCAGTGGAGAATGTTGTACACTAGCAAAAAGCTTCATTATATTTGTATTATACCAAAATACCTGTAATGTGACCCTAACTGTTCTGTATACGTTTTTCTTCTCCTTTCTCCCTCTGGGTGACCTAGTTGATATGTTAACCATTGCTGCCCTCTACAAATAAGAGATGTGGTACTAAAATAAGGTAACAAAAGGTTGTTAATTGTTGCTAGACTCCTTTGTTCTCTGCTGAGGAAAACAAGGATCTTCCCCATTAGTCTACCTCCTGATCCACGCCCAAACCCTTACTTTGTAAACAGTGATATATATATATATAAAGGCTGCAAATATGGGGTGCGGGACATACACAGCTTTTGCAATCTCCAACTGCACTGTGCTGCTGGGCCGAGGATAAAATAAATCAGCACTGCTTTTTAAAATATGTTTTTGCCACATTTTTTGAACTCAAGCTGGGGGACTTGTTTGGGGATTGCAAGAATTTTCATGGTTTTTATAAAAAAGAATAAAAGAGCAAGGAGAAAGTAGCTAATGGATGCTTCAACCTGGGAAATTTAAGACAGGAGAAGCAGGTTAGTTCTATGGAGTTACACACCTGAGGAGAGCAGACATAAAACAAACAAAGTCCTCCACATCCACAAGATGGTAGCTCCCACTTGGAGCTGGAGGCTCAGGCACAAGGCCAAGGTCCACACATGCTCCTCCCACCGGGCTTCCCCTGGCTGGGAGGCCGCCTCCTGCCCCTTTCCTGGGATACCTCCTGCTGTGCCGAGTCTCCTGTTCTCTGTCCTGGACAGCTCCTCACTGTGTCCTAGCTTTAAGCCGGATGTCGCTGTGTGTGTGTGTGCGCACGCGCATGTGGGTATGCACACTCACGCACACTACTGTGGGTTCTGGATGCCACAGGCAAAGGAAATAAAAAACAACAGCAACAGTGCCGCCCTCGTATAACTAAAATTTGTTTGTAAAATAAATCTTCCGCTGGTATAATTTTGCCATCCCTGTATTTCCTGAATCCAACACTTTTTTTTTCCAAAAACACAGAGTGATGGGCTGATCCCTGCCAGTTGAATTGACAAGGATCTCTTTCTGCAAAGCCATGCTTTCTGGATACAATAAATTAGGTGTTTTTCTCTCATCCCCAGTCACGAGCATATTTCTTGGGCAGCTTAGCACTCCAGAAGGAAGTGCAATCCCAGGTGGTGTGACACTGTACTAACATTGCTCCCGCTGGCCATAATGTGAAGGGCATAGGCACAGGACAAAGGAAAAGCAGGCTGTGGCCTGTGCTTGTACGAATAGTCCCCAGACAGTTCCGACTCCTCCCCTCTGAGAAGGGATCTGACTCGGTTCTATGTGAGCACCGGGTGTGACTGAACAGTGGCCCCTGAGTGCACCTGGGGGCCTCATAATGCATGCCCCAGGGAGAAGGGGGCGCCTTGCATTTGTTTGACACAAGCACCCAACATGGTGGCAAATACTTCAACCACCTGCAGAGGTGTGGGACCCTCACGCTCCCACGACTGTGCACAGCTCAGGGGGATGTAGGCGACGTCTCCATCCCTGCGCCCCGAGCTTGTCTGGGCTAGTCAAGCTGGGCTGAGCCCAGCTAACACCAACTGCACAGCTCGGACTTGAGTCCCACACCTTAAGGGAACCCACACTGTAAGAACCAAAGCGCTGGCACCCAGTGACTGACACCCTCACACACATACACACACAAATGCACAGGTGTGTGCACACGGCCTATGCACCCAGGAAGATGCACAAATGCTCGTTTTGGTGCTCTTTCAAGGGCAACATACTGGAGATTGTTCGAATATCTGTTAGTTTGAAAAAACCAATTATGAAAGAGCATATTAAGACATTTTCAGAAAGACACTTAAGAAGGACAGCCCATTTGATCCCTGGTACCAATAAAAATGAAAAAGACAAAAAAAATAAAAAATAAAAAAATAAAAAAAAAAGAAGAAGAAGGACAGCCCAGGCTGCAGCCTGTCACCTGCCCAGAGTGAAGGGCTGGGGCACAGGCGCGGGAGAGGGCCGGGCCCCACTCTGCCGACTGACCAAGGAGCAGGGTTCAATGTACAAGGACAGCAGGTGACTGGTGTCCCCTCTCCCAGGGAGGCCGCCCCAGGGGAGCCTCAGCTCTGAGTGCTGGCAACCAGCTTCCTCCGTTCCTCTGAGGGGCAGCACCCGACTCAGTCCTCCCTGTCCCCGTGGTTTTTCTACAACGTGGCCGTGACCGTGCTTGGGGACCAAAGCTCTGAATGCTGGAGTCCAAGCCACTTCCCAAGCTCTGCCACTTTTCCCTGCATGGAAGGCTCCCTGTGGCCCCTCTCTAGCCGCTCTCTTCTGCTTAGCCTGTGTTTTGTCCCCCACGAATGCATGGGGCTGGAGGAAAAGCTGTTCTCTCCCCTAGGTGGTGAGCAATAGCCTTTAAACTATACCCCAGGTCACCTTGCTGTTAAAGGTCCTAGAGGCCCCAGGGAAACGCATCACCAAATCTCTTTCCTGACCCTCATTCCTGAAGCTCCTTCTCCCCAGCAGGAGGAGCCTGTCCCCTGGTGAGTGCTTGCCTGGCTGCTGCTTATCACCATGGTGTCATAAATCCACCTGCCTGAGGACAGCCAGGCATGGCTCTGCTGCTCTCCAATAAGCCCTGCTTCCCTCCCTCCCTCCCTCCTTCCCTCCCTCCCTCTCTCCTTTCTTTCCTTCTTTTCTTCTGGTTTTTTGAGACTAGGCCTGTGTAGCCCAGGCTGGCCTTGAACTTGCAATGATCCTCCTGCCTCAGCCTCCTGAGAGCTGATGACAAGTGTATGTCACCATAACAGGCACTATTTTTATTTTTTTGGTTGTGGTTCAATTTGTTTATTTCTTAATTATCTTCCTTTCCTCACTAGAATGCAAGCTGGACTTAGCCAGCAGCCTTCCCTGTCTCCCCCAGACTGTCCCTAGCATCTAGGCTGGTATTTGACACACAGCTTGTTCTGAACCCTGAGGGGTGAGAGACAAGAATGAGTGTGAACTGCACAGCCAGTTTCACAACCTCTGCAAAATTACACACATGAGTTGTGAAAATAAAGCAAATGCTTGGAAGGAGCCTTAATGAAAAAATTCATTAGTAGGAAAAAAATTAACCTTTCTTTTAACACTTGCATATTATTTAATTAAAACTAGAAAGTATGCATTTCTTTTTGGAATTCAAAAGCAATTCAGGAAATAAAATTCGTGGGGCCAGAGGTTTAGCTCAATGGCATAAGCACCTGCCTGGCAAGTGCAAGGTCATGGGTTTGGCTCCCGTATCAAAAAAAAATATCATGTAAGAAATAAGACTCATAAAGGGGACAAATACCCCTCAGCTCAGGAGCAGGAGTTTATTCACAGGCTTGGCGCAGTCCCAAAGCCACAGTGCTCCATGATCCAGAACTTTCTGAGCAGCCTGTGTCACCCCAAATCAAAGTCGACCCGGACCCATACGACTTGGAACAGACAGATTTCATGTTGGCATTGGGTCCTGTTTCCAAGGGCCCTCATCGTGTGCATGCAAGTATTCTGGATCCCGAGACACCCCTGGCTCCGAGCACCTCGGGTAAAGGGTCCCTGGCCCGGCAGCAACTGCTGTCTCTTGCACCCTGTTTCTCTCAATGTCTCTGCCTCTGTCTCTCTGTCTCGCTCTCCCCTCCACAAGCAGACTGATACTACTTCAATCTTGGTCCGGCAGTTTCTCCATTAGTAGATGAAAGCAATTATTTAAAGGAACTTCGATCACAGGTTAAAGTACTCTGAGATCACAAAAGGAATATCGCAAAGTCATAAAACAAGTAACTTTCTAGTAACTTCCTAAATGCTCACTAAAGATGGAACTCGACATCCTGAGCAAACCTCAGCAGCTCTGGGAAAGGTAGCGCCTGCGGGGAGGCCCCATCGGGCTGGTTTAATGTTGCTGCTTCACACTGATACCTTGAATACCTTTGGCCCTAGTCAAGAAATTCTCCTGTTAACAGACACTGTCTGGAAATCAAAATCGTCACACTGGGGTAGGGGATGGGGGTGGATGACCACGGCCAAGCTGTGGAGAACACGGAGAGAATTTGGAGCACGCTTACCTCAGTGGAAGTCGGGGAGCTGCATGGTAGCGGGGGCACAGCCATCTGCTGGACAGCGCCTTCATTTCTGTGGAATGGGAAGACAAGCAGCATCAGTACCAGGAAACACCAGGCTCTTGGCTCGGGTGACCAAGGAGCCCCAGCACTCCGCTGAAAAGGGTCATACAACACCACTGAATCTAAGACACCTACCTACAGGGCTTCCAGCATGCAAAGCTGCTAGACACAAAGAGAGAGCCACCCTGTGAGGGCCACTTGGGGGCCACCCAGGGACCGGGAGCACAAGAGCCAGGGCCATCCCGGGAGCAGAAAGGCATCCATGCGTTTTTGTCTAAGTTCGTCCACTCTCTGGCCTGTCCAGAGCTAACAAGGGGCACCCTTTCCATGCTGACAAGCCCTCCCCAGCTGGTCCCGTACCCTCCAGAGTCACCACAACCGAGACACCCACAGCCAGCCTACCCTGCTCCGGCTTCAACGCCCCCTGCACCAGGATCGATGAGTTGTGTTGTTCAGTGAGACAAACCCACTCATTAGCCATGGGACCTTGGCAAGATCATTTCTCAGCGTGCTACTGGAAAGGTACCTTGACTGCTACTGGAAAGTGGGATGAACTAAGAAATTCCAGGTGGGTATGAATCCTCCACAGAACAAGAAAGCCCCTGCAGAAATGTGGCCCAGTACCACTTCTCACCTTGTCCCCCTTGGGCACAAGGGTACATGAACCAAACCAAAACAGACGGGGACCCCTCAGACCCAACAGCTTCTCAATCGCCTTGAGCAGGCTCTGTCTCGCTAAGCAGGGCCACAGTTCTCACCTTGGTGGAACTCACACATGGTGCAACTGGCTTCTGGGGTGAGTGGCTGTGTCTCCCTGGGGTGATCTCCCAGTCAGAGTCTCCCATCCCTTCCCTGGGCCCGACACAGTGCAGGTGACACTTGGCTTGTGTATCTCTTTCAAAGGCCAGCAGCACTGACAGATTCTTGCCCAGGATCTCTGGGCCGAGGGAGCTCAAACCAGCCAAGCTGGCCCTTTATAGTTCGATTCCCCAAATTAGTGTGACTTCAGTGTCCTCTGAAGTCCATTTACTTTTTAACCTTGCATCATAGAAAACCTGCCATGAGTCCTAATGGAGAGAAGCAAGCAGCTATGAGAAGTTACATGGTCACAATCCTTCACTACCCTCCAGGGCATCCAGCCACGGAGGCGCTGGTGGCCTAGGGACCCGAACCTCGTGGCCAGTGCTTCTTCTAAGGGATGAAATATGACTCTCCTTTTCATAAAATTACCCTAGCTTTCCTTGGCACAGTGAACTGCAGATGCTCGCCTGTGTGCTATGATCATCTTCAGGAACCTGTGGAGAGCCATGGTTTGGATCTACAGTCCACCCCCCCCCCCCCAGCTCAGAGCAGGACTCCTAGAAAGGGGCGGGGCTTAGGATAGGGTGGGGTTCCTGGAAGATGTGGGGCATGCAGGAGCGAGGCTCACCAGTGGCTGCTTCACCCACTGAGGGTTTATAGTTGCAACCTTCTGGGAGGTGGAGCGGTGCAGGGCCATCACTGGGTGTGGCCAGAGCACTCTCATTTCTGCCTCCCCCCTTCTGCACCCAGGCCCTTAAGAAGCCAGCAGCCCTCTGGGACTGTGTCCCTCTGCCTGCCACATTCTTCCTCCGACCTGTGGAGTAGGGGTTAAGCAGCAAGCCAAAAGGCCTCTCCTCCTTTCAGTGGGGCATCAGGCATTCCATCCCAGTGATAAGAAGGTGACTGAGACTGAGGATTATTTGCACCCACAGAGTGAGACCTAGTTTCCAGGTCACTGAGCCCTGTGTGTGGGGTACAGTGGCCCCCAATTAGGGACCCAATGGACACTTGCAACCATACAGTGCTGAAGCCTACACCTACCTAATAAAGTAGCAAAATGGAATAATTATAACCATCGGCTGTAATAAAGCTTACACATGTGGTTCTCTGTCCTGAAAGAGTCAGGATGAGTGCTGCCATCTGTGCAGCAGTGCCCTGGGAAACTGATGTTGTTGGTCACTGAGACTGCGGAAGGATATAGGGGACCACTGTGTGTCCTTGTCGCTGGACTAGCCAAATCTGATAAAATCATTTCTGCTGTTCTTCCTCACTCATCCTCCCAGCGCTAGGATGGGATCTTTTTTTTTTTTTTTTTTGTCTTTTTGAGACAGGGTCTCATTATGCAGTTCAGGCTGGCCTAGAGCTCACTTTGTAGCCCAGGCTGGTCTCGAACTCGCAAAGATCCTCCTGCCTCTGCCTCCTGAGTGCTGGGATTACAGGCGTGAACCACCATGCCTGGCCAAGGACAGGATCTTCTTTCTTTGTGTCCCCAGCTGTCACCAGACACCGGGGAAAGAGCTGGAAGGTGATGAAGAAGCAGAATCTTAATGGGGAGCTCTCTTACACCCTGCCCTGTGCTGTCCCAGCTGCTTCCAGGAGTTAATGGCAACATGCAGCCAGCAGCCAGCACCACCACCTGCGAGGGACAGCTCTTGGGTGTCTGCCTTACTCACAGCCAGTCCCCAGTGGACCCTATGTCTACACTAGAGGACACAAACAGCCCAGCCTCACTCAGAGAGGCTGGAGTTGTACCTGTCTCATTTTGGCCCAATTTCTCTCCCCCAGGACTCAGAGGTTAGAACAGAGCCACAGAAGTTCTGCACTGGCTTGAGGGGGAAGGGAGTGCCTGGGAAGGAACATGAGGGCCCCTGGGCTGGAAGCAACAGCCACCTGAGAGTCAGCAAGCACACAGAGTCTAACAGGAAGGACCTGAGGTGGACCCACGGGTCTACACATGGGTTCCCGAGCGCTGCGGTGGACTCTTGATGCAACCTCTGCATTTTGCAGTGAATTCTGGGTATTGTATCTGCATTACCCACTCCGTGTACCAATGCCTTGACTATAAGAGGCTTTAACACTTATTTTAAACAGCCTGCAACAGGGTGCTGAGAGTCCTGCTCTGCCTCCTCCTGACAGCTGTCAGACTGTCATTGGTCTCTGCTCTATATTCCTCTTTAATTTCTATGTCGGGCCAGTCCTAGGTGTACAGGGGCACAGAGGCCCCAGCCTTGGCTCTCTGGATGGGAGGAGCAGAGAAGGAATCTATGCCATGTTAAGCCACTGACTCAGGGCTGTTTTTACCAAATCATAACTGAGTCCACCGAGTCCACTGCCCACACGAAGTCCACCCTGTAAGGAGCCGTGAAGTCCTGCCCACACTGCATTCATAACGGTGAGACTTGGAGGAAGCTGCTGCCCAGCAGTGGGAGAATGATGGGCCACCTGTCTATCTGCACAGAGCAAAGTGGTTCTCAGTCACCAGAGGAGCAAACTGAGTACAAACAATGTGGACAAACACCCTGCAGAATGCAGTCAATCTGACACAAAGGAAAGAGCTCTGCCAGCTTCCACTCACGTCAGGACCAAGTCCAGGGAGCTCTAACATAGGACAGGACTCAGGGCGTGGCCTGGGAGTGGAGAGGCAGGAAGCGGCACCTGCTGACTGGCGGTGGACAAATCCTCTGCGTTTTAATATTGCACAGGGATCCCAAGGTGTGTGCCATGATCAAAGCTCAACAAATGGACAACAGATGGTGATGCACAGCTATGGCACTGAGTGTGAATCACGCCCCAATTAAAACAGAAATGCCTGGTTATGTGTAGTAGGACAATTATGCTACCCTAGAAAGAAATCCAGATGAAAGCACAAATTCTGTCACTGGTAACTTCTGATCACTGTACTTTTCATCGCTGAGATACAGCACAACTTTTAACAATCTTGGTTTCTTTCTTTTTTTCTTCTTTCTTTCTCTCTAGTACTGAGGATCAAACCCAGAGGTGTTTTATAACCAAGCAACATCCCCAGAATTTTTACTTTTATTTTTAAAATTTGAGACAAGGTCTCACTAGATTGTCCAGGCTGACCTGAAACTTGCAATCCTCCTGCTTCAGCCTCCCCAGTAGCTGGGGTGCAGGCATGTATCACCACACCACTTCAGTCTTGGTTTCTTAGTCTATGCAATCTGGTAATGTAAATGTCAAAGCACAGCCACAAGAGTTAAAATGCGGTGTTTCCTGGCTTTGTGATACTGAATCTCAGTATTTAAACTGTCGGTGCCAGGTCCCCAGTTCTGTTCATTTATTCAGTCACCAACTTGCGTGGCTTCCTTTGTAGGCTGTGTCCCCCCGTCTCGTCCCATGGTCCCTTCCTAACCCATGCACTTTCTGAGCTGCCTGCACTCTGGTGAGGGTCCCTAATACCACTTCCTTTTCTGCTTTCTCAGCTGGCTGCACTCTTGATTGTGAACCCACATTGGGGTAAAAGCCCAAAGACGGAGGCCTGATGTCCTCAAGTCAGGGCTCCTTTTCTTGCCTGACACACAAGTTACTTATCAGCTGTCTGCCGAGCCCCTGGTGCACCCTTAGCTGCGTCCTTGCCACGCATGTGCCCTGCAGTGGGCACTCTGTGAATCTTTGCCTTTTGTTCTGAAGCTGCACTCAGTGCTTTCCTCCTCCACCCAACCTAAGGCTTCCGTAGCTCTGCACACCCAGTCCTCCAGCGAGCAGCCCGCTGGGTTTCCAATGACTCCACAGCTGTCTCGGCAACTTCATTCTGTCTACCAAAAATGCCTCATCCTCAGAGTCGGCCGGTCACACGCACAGATTTTCTGATATAATTACATTTCTCAATTAAAGTTCTAACCATAATTGAAGCTATAGGAAGAGATTTTGTGAACATGTAATTTGAAGCTAACCCAACAACCCGTGACTGACTCCCTAGGATAAACATGAGACACTCTCCAGAATAAACTAAAAGAATCTACAAATTGTGGCAAAGAAAAACCAGCGGGCTCTAAAGTCAACGTGCTTATGTTTCCAGGAAGCCCGAGAGGCCACAAGTTTCTGAATGAGAGGCATAAATGAAGATGTTGATACAATATACATTTGTGGAACACTGTAACTTTCCAGATATGAAGATCTATTGCCAAGGAGCATCTCTGCTTTTTTCTTTTTTTTTTAGATGAACAAGTGTTCAATTCCAAAATTATT